TGCAAGAAATTTAATTACCTTGAACAGAAGGTATCGGTACACAAACCATCCGGTATATCCAAGTCCTACCAACTCAAAGATCTTTGGAAGCTGTAGAAAACATTAGACACCAGATTCAGAAAACAAGATTTCAAGAACACAATACAAACAAGATATAGAAAACATACCAATGGCACTGAGTTGACTGCACCAATAAGGATTGAAGATATCCAAATTGCAACAACTGCTCCTCCTCCATAGACTATAACTGTTGACTTGTTTTCAAGTGCATCCCACTGTAAAGGAAACAAATATTGTATCAGAAACAGACACTGATAAGTAAGCAGATCATGACAAATGAATTGAGCTTATATATGTTTCTTGAATCTTCACCTTTTCCTTTAAATCATTGAACAATTCATTGGCATCTGGAGGAGATGATGCATCTTCTGAGGCCTTGATCTTCAATAGAGATGACCTTCGTGATACTATCAATTAACAACTTACATATCAAATGCTATCCAGCTTTATAGTACAGAAAACACACATATCTAAAGAACCAACATGTGTAATGGCTGGAACCCCAAAGTTCCGGATTAAACTGAATACAAGTTTCAACATTGATATGAATTTGCTTCAGATTGAACACCAAAGGTTTCTAATTTAGTGACCTTTTACGAGGTTCAGTGAAGTACACTGTCAAATGTACCTAAAAACGTAAAACAACCCATGTTGGTTTTGAAGTTGAAAGATTTATTGTGTTCACTAATTGCATAACAGCTCACGACAAATTTCGAATCTACGACGAAGTAGTTTACGTGAAGTTGTCATTGAGAACCTCAAAATCGATCGACAATCTAGCTCACATACTAACTTGTAAACAATATGCTCGACGAAATGCCTCAGAGAACAGCTATAGTAGCACTGACAATAAAGTTACCTGAAATCTGTTTGATCGAAGTGGAAAACGAACGAGCTGGAAGGTGTGGTAACGATGAGCAACGGACAGCGGTGGTGCTAGGAAGACGAGGTAACACGACGGCGGTGGCCGCCGAAGAAGTTGCTGCCGCAAACGCCGTCGCCATTTTCATAAACTCTACCTATTCAGCCGACCTCAACCTTTTCTGGTATCCACACTCGTCTCTCTCCTTTTCTTTTTAGCTTTTGTTGGATTCTTGCTTTGACACGTGGAGAAAGGGAGCTTTTTGATTGGTTAAGTTTCTATCTTCATAATCCACGTTTGATCGGTTCCTCTGCATTGGCCTTTTACTAGATAGGTCTAGTCAGGTGTGTGGCAACAGGTACTTTTGTATCGGAGAGTTGGTTATCTTTGATTCAAGGGAGAAAGACTTTTGACAGTAATTAATTTTTGCGTTTAGACTTATTTGATTTTTTTTTTTTATTTAATTTAATATACCATCGAACTTGTTGTTTGTGTTCACCATAATCCTTTTGACCGACTTTTGACCTGTGATAGCCGGTCAAACGGTTATGATGAACACAAACAACAAGTTCGATGGTATATTGAAGAAAGTGATCAAATGAGAACAAATGCAAGAGTTGGTTACCTTACTGATTCATTTTTTCTCTACTCATTTACAGCAAATCCCACGTCATCTCCTACTGCTATTAATGATTTTATGAGATTCATTTTTGATTTTCAAAACATAACCCACGAAAGAACATTATTCATACATGTGCAACTTTGTAATACACTTGAATATTTTTTAGAGAAATTTTGACTAAGCAGGCGCATTTCATGACTACATTTACATTTTCAATCAAATGATTTATCGTATCATGGATTCTAGACAAGTCTACAAATGAGTGGAATCACAACTGCTATGATTTTCGAGTTTACTTAGCTTTAAGATCGAATTCATGGGATAAGATACAACATCAATATGTACAATATCATGTTGCTTTTGTAGACACATCATCATAATATACCTTGAGGTAAATGTTTATGTTGATAAATATACTTCTCATACATAGATATATCCTTTTGCAGAAAGATGTTGACAGCTAACCACAATAAGCATAATATAGACCATGTTTTAACAAGGTTACCCCTTTGAAACCCTCTTCATATACATTATAGCCAAAGAAGGTTGCAGTCTTTGATAATTTTGCAACTTTAATTTCATATAACTTTTCGGGGAAAATGGATCAGGAGAGTAACCAGTTCGTTCTCATTTGGTCCCTTTCCTTTTTTTTTTTTTGTACTCAATATACCATCGAACTTGTTTTTTTGTGTTCACCATAACCTTTTGACCGGCTATCACAAGTCAAAAGTCAGTCAAAAGGGTTATGGTGAACGCAAAAAAGAAATTTAATGGTATATTGAATACAAAAAAAGGAAAGTGAACAAATGAGTACAAACACAAAAGTTAATTACCTTCAAGAGTCATTTTCCCTTGATTCAAAACGTTATTTTCCTTTTCCAAAACGTTTAATAAATATTTGGGGTTATATTTGATTTATTTTTGATTTAGACTTTAAAAACAATTAAAAAAGAACCCGACTTTTAAAAATAATTTGAAGTGTATATAAGGTAAATTGTTAGAAAAACCTCAATATTTTCAAAAAAATTTCACTTTAGTCCCTTGAAAAAATTTAAACAAAAAAATCTCGATTATTTGATTTTACATGATAATATGTCATTTCCTTTTAAAAGAAATTTTTTTTTTGTTAATTTGAACCAAAATGAAATAATCAAGACTTTTATGTTCAAAAAAGTAATTTTGAAACTAAAGTGAAACTTTTTTGAAAATATTGAGATTTTTCTGACAATTTCCCTTTATATAATATCTTTATATAATATCTTTTTTTTAAGATTAACTTTAAAAAAAAAATCTTCTATTTTATGTTTTTTTTTTCAGATTATACTTTTAATTTAGTTTTTGCCTGAATAAACCTTGTATTTTTTCATTTTTTCTTAAAAGCCCTAAACTTTGTATTTTTATCTGAAAAAACCATTTATCTTCAAAATGCTTTGGAATAAACCGTCAATATTTTTAGTTTTTAAATGAAAAAAGCCCTCACATTTTACAATTTATCTGGTAAAATATGTCTAAAAGGCCATATCGAAAAAATGAGAAAAATACAAGTTCTTTTATGGTGTGTGGTGGGCGACGGTTATGAGAAAAATACATTCTGATGGCAAGAGCAGGTCCATCGATTTTAGATCGTGTTGTGAGAGGATAAGAAGAGGTCAACGAGGTCCGGTTATGCTTGACAGCGGTCTGATTATGGTGTGTGGTAAGTAACGGTTGTTTTCAATGGTTCCATCGTCAGCGATTTGGTGGTTTCAAGACGATCTTGTATCGACAATTTGATAGCTTCTGTGGTGGGGGTTTAGTTCATTTTCTTCATTAGAGTTGGTGAGAGATAAAGGGGGGGGGGGGACCCATGTTTGTTAATATATTTTTTAATTAATAAATAGTAAAAATATAAAAAAATAAAATATTAAGGGCATTTTAGTCATTTTCTATTAAGCAGAGACTAATACCGTAACAAAATCTAGGGATGGTCCGAGTGAAAAAAAATGAGAGACCAACACATGAAATTTTAACAAACCACAGGGACGGTTTAATAATTTTTTCTAAAAACAATTGGAATATTTATGAATGTGATGTTATAAATGCCTTTTTACATGGAGATTTGCAAAAGGAAGTTTACATGAAACTTCCACACATGGACCATGATATTACTTTACATTTTCTTGTATTTGTATTTAAAAAAAGAAACCTTATATGGATTAAGGTAAGCTTCCAGACAATAGTATGTTAAATTGTCTTCAGCATTAAGAGCACAAGATTATGTTTATTCCAAAAATGATCATTCACTTTTCCTCAAATGAAGTAACTCTTTGTAGTCATAGTATCTGCCTATGTCGACGACATCTTAGTCACAGGAAATGATATAAAATCGATTAACCATTTAAAAACCTTTCTGGATGCTCAATTTCAAATAAAAGACTTGGGCTCATTTGGCATTGAGTTTGACAAAATTGAGCAAAGCATGGTTTATCAAACTAAATATATCAAAATGTTACTTTTTACTTACAACATCATTGAATGTGCTTCCACTCATCTTCCTTCGCAATTTAAACTTCTTCCAGGAATGTTTGGTTATTTACCAAATGCAACTCGCTATAGACTAGGGCTGAGCATTTAGACCAAACCAGATCGGACCGACTCTTGGACCGAACCAAATTAAGAGAAATTGGTGTCCCTTGGACAGGACTTGTTGAGGCCGGTCCATGTCCGGGTTTTTCGGTTCTTGTACCCATTGGATCGATACAACTTTAGGTACATATGATACAACTCGTTAAAACCTACATAAAGTTAATTTACCTATTAAGACTTTAGAATGAGTATTTGTATTGTATCAGACCGGAACCGAAAATGGATAGGATCGACTCTTGGACCGGACCTGTTTTATAGAAATCGTTGGATCTAGGATCAAACCTATTGAGGCCAATCCATGTTCGGTTCCCAATTTGGTCCAGTCCAAAAGTTCAAATGTTCACCTCTACTACCAACAACTTGTTAGAAAGCTAAATTTATTGGTTCACACCATGCCAAATTTGGCTTTTTCTGTTCAACATTTAAGCCAATTTAACAAAAACACCTTCTCAAACTCATTACACAACTGCTCTACATGTTTTGAAGTATCTTAAAGACACCTTATCACAGGCTTTATACTTCAACAATTGATCATCTTTCAAATTAGAAGCTTATTGCGATTTTGACTAGCCTTCATGCCCCATCACCAAATATTAAATTAGTGGGCATTTTATTACTTTGGGTGACACCCTTATTTCATGGAAATCAAAGAAGCAGATCATAATTTCTTTATCCTCAGCGATTCGTTGAGTCATACGACGAGTGTGTGCAGATCTTGCATGGCTGAGCAGATTGTTTCATGAATTGGATATCTGTTATATCACTCCTATTCCTTTACATTGTGATAACATGACAACAATCTACATAACATCTAATCCAGTGTTTCATGAATGTATAAAACACATTGAACTAGATTGTCATTTTGTAAGAGAGAAAGTCACAAATTGCCATTTTGTAAGAGAGAAAGTCACAAATGCTCTCATTCGATTAGCTCATGTTCCACTTTTGATCAAAAGAGTTCAACATTATATGGCAAAATCCAAGCTTGGTGTTTGTAATTTCCCTCAAGCTTGTCCCCCCGGGGGGTGGTGGGGGGTGGGGGCTACTCAAGCTAAATGATGAGTTAGTTAAAGTTAGTTAGAAGGAGTTACTTTTGGTTGTCGATTTCCTCTGTTTATATCTTTGTAGCTTCTTCATGTTTAAACAATAGATAATTCATTTGAATCGTTACATTTCCTCTCTCTTTCTTTCTTTCATTACAACAATATCTCATCAAAGAAGACCAAAACATATTTTGTCGGGAATGGTTGAAGACATTTTTCATAAGGCTTTTGAACAATCTTATTGGCATACATGCATGACTACTTTACACAAATTTTATAAGAAAAATTTAACACTCATATAATTTCCTCGGTCCCTGCAATCTTCTTCTTTATCCACTCAATATCAGTTGCTAACTCTTTTCTGTTAGACTGAAATATATAAAAGTTCCCAAAACATGAGTATACATGCCTTTTCAACATAAAATGTGGCTAAACCCTACAATCTTCTTGTATTCAAGTTGCAAGAAATTTACCTTGAAGAGAAGATATCGGTAAACAAACCATCCGGTATATCCAAGTCCTACCAACTCCAAGATCTTTGGAAGCTGTGACAATATAATATAAACTATATTAGAAAACAAGATTTCAAGAACACAATACAAACAAGATATAGAAAGCATACCAATGGCACTGAGTTGACTGCACCAACAAGGATTGAAGATATCCAAATTGCAACAACTGCTCCTCCTCCATAGACTATAACTGTTGACTTGTTTTCAAGTGCATCCCACTGTAAAGGAAACAAATATTGTATCAGAAACAGACACTGATAAGTAAGTAGATTATGACAAAAGAATTGAGCTTATATATGTTTCTTTAATCTTCACCTTTTCCTTTAAGTCATTGAACAATTCATTGGCATCTGGAGGAGATGATGCATCTTCTGAGGCCTTGATCTTCAATAGAGATGACCTTCGTGATACTAGCAATTAACAACTTACATATTAAATGCTATCCAGCTTTATAGTACACAAAACACACATATCTAAAAGAAACAACACGTGTAATGGCTGGAACCCCAAAGTTCCGGATTAAACTGAATACAAGTTTCAACATTGATATGAATTTGCTTCAGATCTAACACCAAAGGTTTCTAATTTTGTGACCTTTTACGAGGTTCAGTGAAGTACACTGTCACATGTACCTAGAAACGTAAAACAACCCATGTTGGTTTTGAAGTTGAAAGATTTATCGTGTTCACTAATTGCATAACAGGTTACGACAAATTTCAAATTTACGAGGAAGTAGTTTACGTGAAGTTGTCATTGAGAACCTCAAAGTCGATCGAAAATCCAGCTCACACACTAACTTGTAAACAATATGCTCGACGAAATGCTTCAGAGAACAACAATAGTAGCACTGACAATAAAGTTACCTGAAATCTGTTTGATCGAAGTGGAAAACGAACGAGCTGGAAGGTGTGGTAACAAAGAGCAACGGACAGCGGTGGTACTAGGAAGACGAGGTAACACGACGGCGGTGGCCGCCGAAGAAGTTGCTGCCGCAAACGCCGTCGCCATTTTCAAAAAATCTTCGTATTCAGCCGACCTCAACTTTTTCTGCTATCCACACTCGTCTCTCTCCTTTTCTCTTTAGCTTTTGTTGGATTCTTGCTTTGACACGTGGAGAAAGGGAGCATTTTGATTGGTTAAGTTTCTATCTTCGTAATCCACGTTTGATCGGTTCCTCTACATTGGGCTTTTAGTAAAATAGAATAATAGATAGGTCAGGTAGGTGTGTGGCAACAGGTACTTTTGTATCTGTGTGTTGGGTTTTGTTTGATTCAAAATGTGTGTTTTTTTTTTTTTTTTCAAAACTTTTATTAAATAATTGGGGTTATATTTGATTTTTTTTATTTACACTTAAAAAAATTTAAAAAGTAACCCATTTAAAAATACTTCGAGTTTATTTAATATCCTATTTTTTATTATTTTGGACCAAACTTAAAAAACACCTTATAGTTTATGTTTTTTCTAAACTAAATCTCAAATATATTTTGTTTGAATATTACTTTGTAATTTTTATTTTTCTGGAAAAAACCCTCAACTTTGTATTTTATTTTGAAAAACTCTCAACCTTCTAAATACTTCCAAATAAATCCTAACTTTTTTAGTTTTTCTCGAAACCCTCATATTTTATAATTTTTTTTGGTAAAATATGACTAAAAAGGCCAGTCCGGAAAAAAAAATAAAAAAATACAAGGTAGTTTTCAGGCAAAAAAAAATTGAGGTTTAATCCAGAAAAAACACAAAATATAATGTTTTATCTTTAGATTAACCCTTTTATTTTTATTTTATTTTTCAAAATAAACTTAATTTTAACCTGTTTCTCGTTATTTTATTAATGAAGTCAGTTACCAACATGTAACATATTGTTCCCTAACTCACGTACATCCTAAGCATTGATCGCCTAAAACAATAATTGATTCTAAAGCCCCAGATCACATTTATGCTTTGTATTCTTCTACCAATAAACAACAATAGGTCTCCTAAAATGGCTTCTTCTTCAAGCATCATGAACATAAACTTCGTAATCATGCTGAAATTGAATTTTTTTATTGTCAGGATCAAGCTTCTTTATTTACCTTATGTCTTAAGGTTGTTTTCACAAGATTGAGTATGTTTTCCAAGGCTGGCCCAAAGCTATTTTCATATGGTTTAATGGAATTTTTATTTTAGGAAACATGACACATTAGCCCAACAATATATTTCGAATTTATCAATTCAATCCCTTAACTTATTTGTATGCATTATGAGGGAAGAAAGTTGTTTTTGTTAAGTTTATATGATCATTTTTTGAAGAAATGAAGGGGTTGCTTGTAACTTCCTTGCCACCTTATTTAATTGATCTACGTTGGGTTTTCAATTTCACCGTCGTCGCATCCCCAACATCCATTGTTGAATTTTAGAAGAAAACCCTAATCAGACATCTTGTCTTTCTCGAATCTGACAATGTGGTTATCATCAAAAGCCACATCATGCCCTTTCTTTCAAATTGTTCATCGGCCCAGTCAAATCCCAATTTCAAATTGCAGTTTGAATGAACTTTGTGGTAATATAGAATTAGTGAAGAACACCCATAAAATCATTGAAATACTCTTTCGTCTACCCATAACATATGTCATTTTGACCAATCAATTGCTTCAATTGGGGTAATAGCAAGCTAATAACGGGTTGTGTGCAGATCTTGATAAGAAGATCAGACGGATTCTAGCACCCAAGTCACCAGGTATGACGTTAATGATTTAATCTATTTTAATTTAGTTAAAAGGTGATGGAGGGTTTGTGAGTACGCTGGGTGTACAATTGTCACAATCTAAAATTTCTCTTTTGTATAAGTGTAACATTCCAATTTTCAATGCAAAAAATTTCATTTTTAATTACGAGAGTCATAACATAGTTTACCAAACATTGTCAATGTCATATCAATTTATAAAAATCATAACAACGTGTCTGAAAACCATATAATCAAAAGTAATAAAAATCATAGTACAATCCCAGAAATCTTCACACGGAAACCATATGTGTGTGTGATGCGCTGCTACGCCGTCGGCTCTTTCCCTTAGACGAAGAGGTACCTGAAACCAAAACTGAAACTGTAAGCACAAAGCTTAGTGAGTTCCCCCATAACACCCATACCAAATAATTCATATTCGTTGGTATCTTTCAACCGGTAACTGGGAGCTACCATCCCCTTTGGTATCTTTCAACCGGTAACTGGGAACTACCCTCCCCTTCGGTATCTTTCAACCGATAACTGGGAGCTACCCTCCCCTTCGATATCTTACAACCGGTATCTAGAGACTATTTCACCCTTGCTATTACTAATACATATCAAGTACAACAAGCATATCAAATACAATGATCATATCAAGCACATTAATCATACCGCACATCAATCCTAGATGATTATCACAAAGACAACCATATATGCAACGCCCTTGCTTATGGGTCAGCATTGTGGCCGTAGACCTATCCCTACTAGAAGGAAACTCACATCCAAGTTGTGTAGTGTCTACACTGTCCTTGGTGTGAAAGTCAGTTGTAACACCCGTTTATTTATTAGTTAAATAAATAAATTAATGAACGAATGGTAGCATAAAATAAATAATTTTGGATGGTCTTGAAGTGCTAATTGTCACAATTTTAGAAGATGGGGACTGTTTGGTAAGTATTAGACCTCACATGAAAGTAACTATGAAGGTAGGGACTAAATGGTAACTTTTGGTACTTCATTTGAAGTGATATTGAGGCTAAGGGGCTGTTTGGTAAACTTGGGATCGGATTCGTGAGGAATTATAGAAGCATGGGTGACATTGGTAAATTTCGTACCTAAGCTGTAATGAATTTTTAATGTTGGGGTTTAATGGGTAAATATAGGAATTGATTGTAAAAGGATCCTATGGGGTGGGACTAAACTTGTATAATGAGCAAAGTTTTGAGTGGAGCGGGATTTAAACCCGTGACTCCTTCCTTCCCGTTTAAAGCATTGCTACCAAAACCCTAACCCAAGACGATGAGGCAGCCACTATACTCGAACCTTTCAGCCGCTATCATCAGACTTTCTCTCGTCCCCCAACCGGTGGAAGCTCCGATCAACTGTCGTCTCTAGTCGAAGTCGAAGTCGCTGCCGCCAATCATCCTTCTCCTCTTCTGTTAGACGTCTCCTGGTGCCAACCGTCGGTGTATCCGTCGGCCTCCTAGACGCCATAGGAGTCGCAATACCCCGCACTGTGTCGGGTGTTGCTGCTGTGACCGCTGCCCGTTTCGGAACTTGTCTCGTTGCCTCCGTTGTTTTCTTTTCCTTTCGCTTCATCCACCGCCAAGGGCGTGCTTCTAATACTCCGGTCATGGTCGCCACCCCAAAGGGCTGTCGAGTTCGTGTGGGCTACCACCTGTCGAGTTGCGGTGCGTTTCCTTGCTCAGCTCGTCTCTGTGCGTGCATGCCTGCTTGCTGTTGGCCAAAAAAACGTGGAAACCACCATGACAGCCGCCATGGTGGCTATTACCTTGCTATCGTCGCCTTATACCACAAAGTGGGTGGTTGGTTTCCCTCTCCGAGTAAAGGAATGAAGAAGTGCATGTTTCAGGCGATGTGTGTGTGGGTATATGGCGAGAGTCCTCGGAAAAGGCATTACCATCACCATAGGGTGGTGGCTGCCACCATCTACCACCGTCGGCCACCACAAGGTGGCTGTGTGTGGGTGTGTATTTGTTTAGTGTGATTTTATTTTGATATTTAGCATTGTAAAATGTAAATCACACCTTGGAATAATGAAATGAAATCTCAAAACCACCACCGTAGGGTGGTGGTTGCCGCCTCCTGCTGCCACCGGCCGCCGTGTCGGGTGGCTGTGCGCTTTGCCTCTTGTGATAGATTCGTTTGGGGTGCTAGAAACCCTAATGGGCTCAAAGGAGCTCTAATGGGCCCAATGAAGCTTAATGGACTCTAATGGACCCAATAAAACCCATATGGACTGTAACGACCCAAAATTTAAGACCAAAAATTTCTTTTAATAAAACATTACTTTAAGCAAGTCATCATTCCAAAACATAATCTGAGTATAAGTTTTCAAAACACATGTTCATTATCAGAGTAAACATTCCCAGGTTATCTAATCTATGGTGTGTGCCATGCGATCACCCCGAGCTCTTCCCTCTCCTACTGGAAGTACCTTAAACCAAAACTAAAAACCTTAAGCACGAAGCTTAGTGAGTTCCCCACCTTACCACATACCATGCATAAATCACATACTGAACATACTGGGCCACGCCCGCTATCTTGGGCCTCTCCCCCTGCCTCGGGCCTCGCCCGCTATAATGGCCCCGCCTAGCTTCGAGCTTGCTCGAATACAAATCTGTTTTACTTAGGCCTCGCCTGTCACAGGGTCCCGCCCACCAACAAATAAAATCACATAATCATATCACAACACATAAGCTAAACTCATACGACTGATCTTATCCTAAGGCCTCGCCCTTTTCCTGCTACTGATGAGTCATGGAACCCCATCCACACTCTACTATTTGTGAGATACGGGACCTCGCCCACACTCACCTCCCTACCAAGCACATACATATATCACACCGACAACAAGTATAAACTATCATATAAACAAATCCTTGGGCACCCGCCCGCTATTACTAGACCTCGTCCTAAATATCATACTAGCGTACCGTGCCTAGGGCTAACCCCCGGGTCTTCTACTCATAACTACATGGGCCGGCATTGTGGCCTTAGACCCATTCACACAAAAGGGAAACTCACCTGCACTGGCTGAACTTGCTGATGATCTCACTAACTGCTGCCCGACAACTCACTGAACTCCTGCTCCTCTTGCTCCCCGAACTACCAATATCAAAGCAACACTGAGCCTAACTGAACCCCGAAAGACAACCAAATCAACTCTGGTCAAAGTCAAGGTCCTGGTCAAAGTCAACCTTCCAGGTCAACCCTACTCGCCGAGTCACCCTACTGACTCGCCGAGTTCAAATGTTCAGATTCCTTCCATTCGTGTCTCGGCTCGCCGAGTCAGTCCATGACTCGCCGAGTCTACCGATTTCTGAAACCTGACCTGTCCAACTCACCGAGTCTCCACCCGACTCACTGATTTGAGTCTCAACTCGAAGGGTTGTGGTTTCGCAACCTGACTCACCGAGTCCAAGAACAGACTCGCCGAGTACAAGGCAATCTTCATCTGACTCGACGAGCTGGTCATCCCACTCATCGAGTTGCTCCTCACCTTCATGCTACTCTCCGAGTCCACTCAAAGGACTCGCCGAGTCCATTC